ACCACCCCTAAGAAATCACAAGAGTCCCCATACCAACCACTTTTTAGATGCTTAATGAAGACCAGGCTTCCTTGATCCAGATTTTTGCTCAACCTTGTCCAAAAACCTTACCTGCAACCCCCCCAAATGAAAAACACCCCCCCAATCTTCCAATTGTTGAAGTATGAATTCCAGGTTATCCCTCTAATAAGAATTCAAAGAATAAGCATCTTAAAGTGAGCTTTGGATTCATTATAGTTCCACATATAACTTCATAGATTTGTGCACATTAATTCTTGACGGCATATGGCCTGACGTTTTTGGGAACCATTGCCAGACGTGACGTAAATACCTTTTGGGAAATCCACCTAATATGATTGTGAACTAATTCAGAACCTATGAAATGTATTCTGCAAGTATCGTGTGAAATGGACAGTTATTTTCTGAAATTTAAAAATACCTTTTGTCTCAATAGTTCTTACGTAATCTTCATCTTCTATCTTGTTGATGCCAAGGGTTTCCAGCAAAATCCAGCATGGTTTCACCAAAGCAGTTATATTCTATCCATGACCATGTTAAAAAGCTATGATTCCATTCTGAAGATCACACTTGTCTTTGGGAGCCCACAGGACGACATCCCATGGAGACAAAGAGCAAAGAAGAGGAGAGCAGAAACTCAAATCAGAAACTTGAGGTTGCATCACTTCAGATTTAACCAGTTAATGGGGACATTTCTCTAGACGCCTTAAAAATCCAAAAGGTGGTGAATGAATTCACTCCAGTCCCTGAGCTCTGGTATGAACCCCCCTCCCAGGTTGTCATTACTTTAGTCTTTGTTTCCCTCCTGGAATGAGAATTCCCAATGCAATTTCAGCTCAAGAGAAATTCTAAACTTGGAGATTCATCCGCAAACAAAACATACAAGGAACTTCAGTTAAAAACATAATGAACTGGATCCACAGCTGGGACTTCTGTCTGTGGGGTGTGAGTTTCTTGACTCCTGCTTTCTGTGGAGGCTCCAAATGCCCCCTTGAACACTGTTTGCCCCCCAAGCCAGAAATAATGAGGCAGACACAAGTGTTGGGTTTAACTATAGGGCCACTTTATTAACTGACACTTTAGCTGGAACCAAAGGCAAGGGCAAAACAGATTGCGTTATGGTCAAGGCCAGAGGTCAAGGACCCCTCCCTTACCTCGTCAATAGGGCGAGCCACCCTGCCCCGGGTGGGAGCCCACTACCGGGGCTCCGCCCCGGCCGGCTAGCCATTGCAGGACAACCCTGTAGCCCCATCCCCCAAGCCGCAAGGTTCAAAGAGAGGACCTAAACAGGGCCGTCCCGAAGGCAGTCCGTTTTCCCCGCCCCATGCCGCAAGGCACAAAGACTGTACTCACAGGACCCCTTAAAACCCAAATATGGGTGTCAGCTGGTGCTCACCGGACCGCAATCTGTATACCGCATAGCAACCTGCCTAAATGGAAGTGACCAACCTGCTAACACAGCTCACCCCCATAAACACCTGCATCACTGCCGCAGTGCAGGATAGGCGAAAACACCCCCTCCAAGTGCCAAACAGGAAGGGGTGAAAAATTCCTACCCGGCCCCAAAAACTGGCAACCAGCAAACGCCTGCACTACTAACAGGGCGGGAGGGTGGGCCGCCGAACAGCGCGGGACTGCTGAGGAGGAGAGGCGGGGCCAGGCTTTAAGCCCATCACTGTCCCGCCCCCTCCCAAGTCCCGTATGTGGCGCTTTTGGCGTCAAAGTTCCTTGCCTCTTCCGGCTGGGAGGCAAAGGCACTTTCCCAGCCCAACGGCCGGAATGGCCATGGGCTGTTAAATTGTGTTCTTGTGGATAGTGGACCTCCAAGAACAGCAGAGGAGGCATTGGAGGTCTGCAGCTGGAAAGGGAATCAAAATGCCCCTTCTATCAGCAGAAATCTTCACTGGATCCATCCTTTGATAAGTCTATCAAAATATTGGAGGGATGAGATTTACACATCCCCTGTTTCATTTCTCTTCTTGAAATAATTAACCAGCAACATACTGGTCTGTGGTTTTAGTAGGTTCTAGTTCACATTTATTAAATCTTTCATATATAGTATTTCTGGTAGGTTCAAAATGCTTTTGCATGGCTTCTAATGCTTTAGAGAGATTTCCCCTGTGTGCTGGTGGTGGATGTTGACGCTGCTGGAGTAGGTAATTTCCCCTTGCCATTACAAACAATAAAGTTGGAGTTGTGACTCTTTTGTCCTTCCATCTAATCCTGTAGCAATGTCATAATTCTTTCACTGTGCCTTGAAAAACATCCAGTTCCTGATAACATCACCTGATATGCAGTGAACACATGACATATCTATTGAGATATACGTCAGAGTAATTGAGGTAGCAAGCAGTTACTGTAGATAAGTTTGATCTGTTTGTCAGACCTAGCTGTCATGCTAGTAATCATGTAATTACAGCCAGGTGTTTTCTAGCAGGTGTTGCTCTTTCAGGTCTTGTTAGAGTTAGTGATTGCATCACCTTGTTAGAGATTGGCTGGGGTTTAGCATAATAGCTATCAGCTTAGTAAGCTGGTGGGGACTCAGTTCTCATAGACGAAGGCACGACATGCTGTTCAATAGCCTGTAAATATCTCTGCATATATTCACCTTTATAACTATATAAACTCTCTGTGCACCTTCATAACTGGTCAGTGTCCCACTTCTTATTTACAACACCCAATAATATCTCCCCCCCCCCAACAGGGAAAACAATGTCAAGAGCTTGCCATTTTTATTTTTATTTAAAAAAACTCCTCTTTCTAGAATGCCCATGTTCTGACATATAAAGTTCTTATTTAATGGCTGAAAAAGAGACGAACACTACTTCTGAAGTCTGATCAGGAAGAACTTTGACCTGGCAATTTGATGGACAATAAACTGGACCTCACTTGTTGCATAAGGTATTCAATGCGATTTAATACACAGAAATGTTTTAACATCAGTACAGTTTCACTGAAAGATTAATCTTATTCCCAGTATGACCACTGAATCCGTTTACATTTCTTTCTCAGTCTAAAAGAGTTGCTTTCATTGTTGAAAACCACACCAAGAAATGTAGCCTCTTGAACACCATGCAATTAAACCAATAAATCCATGTTCTGCTCAGTTGTTCGGTAAAATAGAAGCACCGCAGTATCACAAAATTAAGTGTCAGCCAAAGTGTGCCTTGTAAAGCACTATATATATATATATATATATA